GGTCGGTCAAGTCATGTCGGCTGCGGCCGGCGCCGGAGGGACCCCCCGGGCCTCAGCACTCCCCGAACGGGCGGGTCTGCTCCATCCTGCTCGGCGATGGAGACATCCCTCTCTGTGTGCTCGCTGCTCGGCTTGGCGTGGCCGGGGATGGCTAGAGGGAAAATCCGGCCTGGAGACTCGGATTCTGTGACTTTCGGAGCCAGGCCGGGCGTTAGAGGGCTGGGGAGGTTCTCTCCGCGCGAGGGTTCTAACCATCCACCTCACCCACACCTTGGTTCGCATTTAGTTGCAAGTTGTTTTGGTTTGGGTTTTGGTTGTTTGTTTTTTTTTTTGCTACTGACTTTCCACGACCTCTTCCTCTTCCCAAAACCCACGAGTTCGCAATACAGGAATTCAAACCCCTTCTATGATCCGTTTAATTCCTTGGGCCTAAAATAGAAACCAGACCATCAACTGATAAAAGTCAGTCAGCAACGCCAAAGGAATGTGGTGATTTCCACCTCATCATTTCGATTTCGTTAAAGTTTTTTTTGTTTTCTCTTTTTCGGTTAGGGGTGTGTGTGTGTGTGTGTGTGTGTGTGTGTGTGTGTGTGTGTGTGTGTGTGGTTTGTTTTCGTTTTGTATATGCTTCTTATTTTAAGTTTTTATGTCTTAACATAGAAAAGTACATGAAAAATCCTCACAGTCTTTTTATTTCATTCCTTTGGAACTCTATGCCTCCGTGAAAGGGTGTTCGCTTTGCATAATCTACAAGAAAGTGGATGCAAAACAGTTCAACAAAACGAGTCACATCAAAAGCTGCAAAGAACCATTTTTAACCACACATGTTGGGCAAGAAGGAGGGAGGCTGAGTGGGAAGAAGCTTGGGTTATTGACCATCATCTCACTGGATACTCAGTTGAGCGGGGTGTTATTATAACCACACTGCAGATGGAGCTAGCACAATCAATAGAAGCTTTTGCAAAAAATAAATTGTGACCATTCACTCAGTCACAGGACTGAAACTGGGGAGACTGAGGCATTGGGCTAGGGTCCCACAGCAGTGGTGGCTCTGAATCCAGGTAGGACTGCCTCTCAAGCATGTGCAGATTTGGGAACGGGAAATAGGAAGCAAAGTATAGAAAACAGCCTCAGAGTAATATGTAGGTTTTCAGGCAAGATAGGACCTCAGCTAGATTTTAGGGAGTAAATAAAAAGAGGCCCCTGTCCCAAATTAACTCATAACTTCCTCACGCATCCTATAGGAGTCTCCCTCAGCTCCCACGTGCATCCTGAGCAGCCTCTGGGTTCAAAAACAACATTTGACACTCTAACCTCAATGAGTAACACTGTCATGGTCATACTCTGCTCCACTTCTGCAATCCTGCATTAAAATCTCATCCTGTAATCATGCTACTTCACCTTTTACCTCTCCCATTCTCAACTCCAATCAAACACACTCTACAGCCACAAGCAACCAATCTCCCTTGCAAATATTCATGCCTCTCCGTTCTCTCTTGAGTTCCTTCCCTACCCTTCCTGGTGTTCATGGTTATTTATTTATTTCAAACACAATCCTGATAGCACCTGCAATTCACATACTCACATATATATGTTCTCCCACTGTCCCTGCCCAGCAATACCCAACTCTGAACCAAACTCAATTTCTTCTTTCTCCACCTAAGCACCCAGGCAAGAGAGTGTACCCACGGAAAGCCACATCATCTCAGAGCTTGAGAACATTATTAATTGTGGTGTCCAACTTTAACTGTGCCCTCAATTCTGCTCAAAAGCATTGTTCCGTGTCCCTAGCCAGTTCCTCTCCCAGAGGCACCCTAGGTAGACTGCAGACTTCAGGAGTCTATGAATACCCCACAATCAGATATGAAAATGTGTGTGTATGACTTATGGATAATTTTTCTGGGGAAAAGACCCAAAACTTTCATCAGATTCTCAATGCAGTTAGTGACCCTAAAACTTTAAGGACCTGCCTAGCACATGCTATTTACACAAAAACATATCATATGTCTGCTGATTCTACAACCAACAAAACTATACTTCAGTGACTGTGTGGTCTGTGCACTAAGAGGTCTGGGTACTAGCACCACTTCTATCACCCAAGAGCAAATTAGTTCTTGATTTTAAAATTTATCCTAAGGCCAGGCGTGGTGGCTCAAGCCTGTAATCTCAGCACTTTGGGAGGCCGAGGCAAGAGGATTGCCTGAGATCAGGGGTTCTAGACCAGCCCAAGCAACTTGGCTAGACCTCATCTCTACAATACATAAAAAAAATTAGCCAGGCATAATGGCACATGCCTGTAGTTCCAGCTACTTGAAAGACTGAAGTGGAAGAATAGCCTGAGCCCAGCAGGTCGAGGCTGCAGTGGCTGTGAGTATGCTACTGCACTCTAGTCTGGGCAACAGAGTGAGACTCCAACACACACACACACACACACACACACACACACACACACACACACACAAATTATCTTGAATGACTCCAAAAATCTTTCCCTATCAATTATAAAACTCAGTTAAACTACAGAAACTTTTTCAAGGGGGGTTGGTTGTTGGAACAAACTGAAAGACTAATGTTATTTCTGTCCATAGTGAGGCAGGTGACATAGATGGATAACTTCCTCATAGGCATGTCTAAATTAAAATAGGGTAAGTGTTCAGATATCTTTCCTATCAGTACATAACCTTCACCCAATCGACCAGGCACATCAGGCATGACTACCTTGTGGGCTGAAATGTGTATCTACCAGTAAACTAAATAACAGAAACAAAAGAGAATTAGCCAAAATGCAGCCATGATGTTCTAAGAAGAGCCCAAATCTAGTTAGGCACTAACTTTAATTATTTAGAAGACCTTTGTAATCTTAGAAGGTTGAGAGATGGTGATCAAAACTTGTGATCAGATACCTGCAGCCCACCCTTCTTAGTTCATGGTTTGCTTAATCATCATTATAAAAGTATATAAGACTTCTTGCCAAAGACAAGCATGTGTTTTTTTCAATTAAGGCATCCATCCTCTTTGGGCATATCTTTTTCTAATAAATTCTGTCTTAAACTATACTTGGGGCTCACTCTGAAATCCTTTTCTATGGCAGAGTCCAAGAACCCATGGAGTAACACACTGCACCCCACCTGGCATCACATAGGTCACCAAGGATTTTTATTTCATATACGTTTTTCACTCATCCGTCATGACTCAGATAACATTTACTTCTGACATGAATTTATCCCCTTTGTTTGCCCCGTAAAAGTCTCTTGCATTGCATCCATCATAGAAACTAAAAATACTTGGAGATTCACTAAGAAAAACCAGGGACTCGTTTCTCCACAGAGTTTTCACCAATCCAATTACTTTCACCAGAAGCAAGAGGCAAAGCCTTCACTCTCATAAGACACTGAGCATTGCAATACATACTAGAGACGTTTCTAAGGGGAAAAAAAGGCACAAATCTCCCCACCCCTCTACAAGAATTCACATTGTAGAGGAGGAAGGGGAATTACAAGAGGGATAAGTAAATAAGGAGAGACCAAGCTGTGCTGAGTATGTTCAGTGCCTCAGAGCTGTGAGTCAGGCATTAAGGCATTATACACACATCAACCTAGCCTCACCATTTAATTCGCTGTGTGACTTTGGACAAGTTACCTAACTTCTGTGGATATTATGTTTCCTCAACTGTACAACATCAAAAAAAATATCAAAGCCGGGCCCGGTGGCTCAAGCCTATAATACCAAGCACTTTGAGAGGCCAAGGCGAGAGGATTGCCTGAGCCCATGGGTTCGAGACCAGCCTAGGCAATTTGTGAGACCTCATCTCTACAATAAATCAAAAAATAAACCGAGCATGGTAGTACACACCTGTAGCTCCAGCTACTTGGAAGGCTGATGCAGAAGGATCGCCTGAACCCAGCAGGCTGAGGCTGCGGTGTCTGCGAGCATGCCACTCCAGTCAGGGCAACAAGAGTGAGACTCCAACTCAAAAAAAAACCCCTAATACTACTTCATGAAGTTGCAAGGATAAATAAGCTAACATATGTAAAGCACTTAGCTCAGTGCTAGGCATGGTGTAAACACTGTGGAAATAAACAAAGACCACTCACATGAGAACAAGCAAAGTCTGTTTATTCTGAGCTCACTGTTGCAAGGGATTCAGCCACCATCTCCTGCGTGTGGCAGAGATTCAAAGGCAGGCTGAGGAAGAGAAAGCTTTATGGAGATCGAGGAGACAGGTGTGACTTGATTGAAGGCTGCTGGACTAAAGAAGCCAGAGATGTGTTAGCTGGAAGTGGGATGTCCAATGCGATTGG